GACTAAAACACTCAGGCGCGTTTCCATCCTCGCCAACCGAAGAGGCACGAGCGAACAGCGCAGCGTCTCCCACTCGTGTCCTCCTCGTGTCAGAGTGGGGTGCAGGTGCCGTGGAGGGGGAAGCTATATGCGGTCGTCATTCCCACCTCATGTTGCATAATTATTGCAGATGCAGGCGCAGTTCGAGCCCTGCTTGTTGGAGCAGCTCTCACAGCTCCAACCATTTCTGATGGAGCTCATGACAACTAAAGACTTTGGGCAATAAAACTCACAGGATTACGTTTTTTTTATTAGTATTATCTAAACTGAGAGCTAAAGTTGACATTAGGGCCCCTATTTATTTATTTTTAAAACCACTTTAAGTGGCGGTTCTAGAGGGGTGGCACTGGGAGGCAGCTGCCCCTGGAAAGAAAAACATCTTGCCATCCTGCTTTAAGGTAGTAAACTAATGTCAAGTCAAATTTATTTATAAAGCACATTCAAAACAGCAGCTGTTACCGAAGTGCTTAACAATAAGAACAAGGCAGTGAATTAAAAAAAATAACTAAAAGCATCAAAAATAAACATAAAACACAAAAACAATGAGAAACGATGAAATATTAAATCAAATCACACTGTGTTGGGGTGCAGATTGATCCAAAGTTTAGGACCCATGACTGAAAAAGCTCCTTCTCCTCTGAGCTTCAACCTGGTTTTGGTACAACCAAAAGCAGATGATCAGATGATCTCAGCGCCAAGAAGGAATATAAAGTTGAAGTAGATCAGAGAGATATAAGAGTGCAAGGCCATTAATGCACTTAAATGTCAACAGAGATCCAGTGAAGGGAGGACAAAACCAGTGAAATGTGCTCAAACAGATGAGTTCCTGTTAATAGCTGAGCTGCAGCATTTTGGATAAGCTGGAGACGTGAAAGGGACACCTGACTGACCCCAACATATAGAGCGTTACAATAGTCTAGTCATGTAGTAATGAAGGCATGGACTATTTTTTTTTTCAAGTTCAGATCTGGTCAGCACTGATTTAAGCTAAGCTATCTGCCTTAACTGGAAGAAACTTTTATGAAGAACAGAGTTAATCTGTTTACTGAACTTAAAGTCAGAGTCTAAAACCATCCCCAGGGTTGTTACAGACGGCTTAAGACAAGGCTGAAGAGAGTTAAGGTTTTCAGGATCAGAGACTGCACTAGAGCTAGGGCTAAACACAAGAACTTCAGTTTTCTGATCATTAAAACTTAAAAAAAATTGAAGCCATCCATGCCTTGATGTCATCAAGACATTTTAACAGAGGCTGAATGGAGCAGGAGCTGTTGGGTTTTAAGGGCAGATAAATCTGACAATCATCAGCATAACAATGAAATGAAAGACCATTTTTCTTCAGGATAAATCCCAAAGGCAGCAGCTAGTGAAAATAAAAGGGGTCCAATAATTGAGCCCTGTGGGACCCCACAGAAAAAAGGCACTAATACAAATACACTATTTCCAACCTTAACACACACTTTTGTCATTAAGGTATGAACATGTGTGTGTGTATGTGTGTGTGTGTGTGTGTGTGTGTGTGTGTGTGTGTGTGTGTGTGTGTATGTATATATATATATATATATATATATATATATATATATATATATATAT